CAACAGCAAAAGAAAAGAACCACAACGGAAATTAATAAAAAAGGTTTTTTGCGGATTCATTTTAGTAGAATTTAGTAAGTAAAAAAACCAACATCAACATGGCTCATGAATCTGAGAAATCTTTATTGGATCAACACAAGGAGAAGCATTTCACCGCCGGTGAAATTGTGAGGGACATAATCATCGGAGTTTCCGATGGACTAACGGTGCCGTTTGCATTGGCGGCGGGCCTGTCAGGGGCAAATGCGTCTTCTTCTATTATTCTTACCGCTGGTATTGCTGAGGTTGCTGCTGGTGCCATCTCCATGGGACTTGGAGGGTACGTGTTCTTTTTATTTCTTTCTTGTTTTTATTTATTTATTTACAAGCGTTAGTATTAGAGGCGAGCTCAGAATTTAAACTTAGATACCTTCTTTATGATAAAACTCATTGTACTTTTAAAATATAAGCTTACAATTTAATATTTGTTAAAATTTCAATGATTTTTGTCAAAAATATAATTTTCATGTCACACATGTGTATAATTATTTTTCGTGTCAAAAATATTGGATTCAGTCGAACTCATGTAGGATACCATCGGCTTCTTATGAAAGTTATGATTGGTTTTGTATTGAGTTTTAGTTGATTGATTTATGAACAAGTACTTGGACAGCTTAATTCTTTTTACTTGATTAAACTTTTATTAATATTTATTGATACAATTCCTTTACATGGATTTATAGTTACTTGGCTGCCAAGAGTGAGGCTGACCACTATATGAGAGAGCTTAAGAGGGAGGAAGAAGAGATCATTTCTGTACCAGATACAGGTATAACTTCTCATGGCACAAAGTGGTGTACACATAATTTTGTCCGGTTTCAATCCATCTGAAACTGATGTTGACCTTATAATATTATTTTCAGTGGTCTTCTATGTGTATTTATATTTAAAAAAAAAACATTATGTACCTACATTCATTTAATAAAAAATCTCGGCGGCACGGTGTTGGATGGCATAACTCGAAGCAGTGTGTGTGTGTATCCATTACTGATGGCACAGCTATCTCTGAGGTTTACTTTGAAGGGAGTTTCTTTTCCCTGGCATTTAAAGGTGGTTGCATAGGAAAGAAACTCTGTTTTATATACAGTGTCACCTGAGTCTATATATTAAGTACTCTAAAAGTTTGAGATGACTATTTAATTTATTATACTTTCTCAAATTTTGTTTGTTTGTTTATTGTTTTTGTTGTTGTTGTTGTTATTTTCATCATTGTTTACGGTCCACTAAAGGGTAGCTCGGTGCACTAAGCTTTCACTATGCGCGGGGTACGGGGAAGGGTTGAACCATAAGGGTCCATTGTATGCAGCCTTACCCTGCATTTCTGTAAGAGCATGTTTCCACGGTTCGAATCCGTGACCTCCTGGTTAGAGGCGGACCTATGTGTAGTGTGAGGGGTCACCAGACTCTGTAAACTTCGGCAGAGATCTTGTATATGTATATATGCATACCTTGAAAATGACTATATAAATAACTTGACACCCTAAACACTAAAAGCCTTTATGGGGCACCGTTGAGTAAAAGAGTGGTGCTCCCCTCACGTTAAAATCCTGGGTCCGTCTCTGCTCTTGGTCACGTGGCAACAACTTTACCAGTTACGCAGAATCCTTTTCATACATTAAGGATGGTATAGCTTTGTTAAGCACATAACTTGTACCAAATTGACATTAACCTCTCTGTCCCTCATAATGCTGACTAGAGTTTTGTATTTGGTAATGGGTGGAGAGAGAAGGAGGAAAGAAGGGATACCTAGATGACACATAGATTGAAGTTTAGTTACTAGTATATGAGGAAACTAGTACTTTCAAGAAATGAAAAGGTTATTATGTCTTGGTTTTAAAATGTTCTAACTTGCAAATTACTTGGCAAGGTTACTTGATTTAACAAAGAGCTTGTGGTATAAATTGCAGAAGCAGCGGAGATTGCAGAAATTTTGTCACAGTATGGGATTCAGCCCCATGAATATGGACCAGTTGTGAATGCTTTGAGGAAGAATCCACAGGCATGGCTTGACTTTATGATGAAGTGAGTCTTATCATACTTTCTCTTTTTCTTCCTACTATTTGGCTGATTATGCATCTAAGTCAAGATTTTCTGTTACCATACATGTTATAGTTGCTTTATTCATGCAATGTCTAATTGATAAGCCGTCTAAGTTTCAATATGTAATTTTATTTGTGTTGCCTTATAGCAGGATTTTTATTATATTTGACTGAGATGGGTTTAAATCGAGCGATATGGACAGTGATGATGATTTATATAACTGACCCCAATTTGCTTGGAATTGATGCATAGTTGTTGTAGTTGTTGCCTTAGAGCAGGAGGGAGATATGGAAGTATGTAAATTCCATTTGAGATTTGACTTGGACCACAGAAGAAATCATGATTTGGGAACTTTATCCCGACCTACTTAATGGCAGGCCACTTAAAGTGGAGCACACACTTTGAATAGCTTTTATGGCCCCTCCATTTAATTTGGTATTTAGCTGATCGATCACTCGTTTCTGGTCCTGCTCTTCAACTTTATTCAGCTAGTAGGATGGATAAGTTAAACTTTCTGGTTTATCTGATCATCATACCCCCAGAGAGGCTTTAGGCCTTGATTAAACCAAACAAATTAAACAATAGTGAGAGTGTTTGAATTAAAATTTTATTTTCAGTTGTCTATATTTCTACTTGAATTGGATAAAAGTTTGCACTGTCCTATAATGGTGAATATGATGATATTGTTTCGACCTTTTATTTGACTTGCTTATTGATCTGGCTTTTTCTAAATCACATCAAGTCTACTGCAAATTCTGCGATTTGAATTCACATGGCACGGACAAACTATAATAAGTTTTTGTTTAATGGCAGATTTGAACTTGGTTTAGAAAAGCCAGATCCAAGGAGAGCGCTGCAGAGTGCGTTTACCATTGCCATTGCTTACATCTTGGGAGGACTAGTCCCTCTGATCCCATACATGTTCATTCCAATCGCAAGAAAGGCTGTCGTCGCTTCTGTTTTGGTAACTTTACTGGCCTTACTAATCTTCGGCTACGCCAAAGGCCACTTTACTGGAAACAAACCGTTTAGGAGCGCCTTCCAGACAGCACTAATTGGAGCAGTTGCATCTGCTGCTGCTTTTGGCTTGGCCAAGGCTGTTCAAGGCGGCTAGGACCCTGACATTTCTGTTTCTTGTAACGTAACTTTCTGCTTCTCATCCTTTTGAAAATGCAGACTTGTGCTCTTCCTCACTAGTTTTCGTGTACCATGTTATGATAGATGTTGAGGCATTAATTTGAATCGCGTTTAAGATTTAATGTGCTTTAATTTGTTGTTCTTTTCATTTTTAAAGTATATTTTAGAACATAATATTCCACGATATAGCTAACGCCATCTAAAGTATGAGTTTATGGCAACATTCTCCTGCTAAGTTTCAATGGCAGAGGGGGAGAAGGTACCCAGCATGAAGCAAAAGAAGAGAAGGGCAAAAGAACTTAGATTTGTCTGACAGGACATTTTATTTAGCTTATGCAGATTTAGAAAATACAGTTAATAAAACTAAGAGAAGAAAAAATGTTTTCCACGGAAAATATTTTCCTAAATGATAGTGCTCCCTCTGTCCCAATTAATGTCTCATACAATTTTTTTTGTCCCTCTCCCAAGAAGAATGTCATACTTTCCGATTTAAAAATAATTTAACTTTAAACTTCCTACTTTACGATGAGGTGGTTTATAGACACATAAATAAATATTTATGAAAAAGCACAAGTTTCAAAAGTCCTCGATTCTTTCTTAAACTTTATGCCGAATCAAACACTGCCACATAAATAAGTAAATATATTCTTTCTTAATAAAGATGAGCAGTTGAACCTCTGAACTTAAAAAAACAAACTTTTCCTTTCTGGGTTTACCGAATCAAAAATCACGCACAACATCAGAACTTGGAAAGATTTGATCATAGAATTATTGTTTCCCCTTTCAGAGATCATTAGCAGGCTACTAAAAATTAATTCATCCAAATAATTCTGCGCTGTTTGTCTAAACTCGTATGTTAAACAAAAATTACGTCGCAATAATACATTTGGTGTCGGTTCATCAAACTTAGGCCAATTAGGACACATGGAATCATAATTAAAATATAACTCGAATCTATCTCAGAGATCACACACGAAATAAGATTCATAAAAAATACTAGTAATGTCTTTACTTTCATCAATACATTGGTATCCAAGCTTAAAAGAAGAAAAACAAATACAGAAAGAAACGAAGCAATACAACCACAACAGAACTTGAAAGATGGAACTTTTACAAGAAAATAAATCACTCCACATCATAGTAAACTCGAAATGTAAGAAACCCATAAAATTGTTTCAAGCTGACAAGTGAAGCACATTTATTTAAAATCAAAACAAGTAATCAGATGAACAGACTGCAAAACAGGAAATGCGTCTATGCCTTTGATTCTGTCCTGCAAAAAGGAGGAGAATAAGTAAAAGAGGAGAAGTGTCGAAGATAGGTTTTCGTTGCTAAAAGGAGTCTCTTTGTGGTCTTAAAAGAAATCACTAAATCATTCATAGTAGTCCATCAAATAGAGTACAAAAAGTATACATAAGCAGAATAACAGTATATGGTATTGCTATTCTCAATCTGGTCAAACCATTTACATGTTTCAGTAACAAGCACGAAAAGAACTGAGTGATGGATGTTGATATTAAGGTGCTCGGATTCTGTACTATAACACAGTCGTGTTGCCCAAGTTAATGTTTGCCAATCCACTATGTAAGGGGAAAAGAAATTACTAGTCCACTATATAATTTCATGGATCACTAACTCGAACTAATGAAATAATCACGAAAATTATACAGGAATGTATGGAGATAGATGCAGTCTTATTGAAAACCTTTATGGATAATGACACAAGGTGAACAAGAGTTCGGCTAACCTTATTTCAACTTCACTTTGTGGCCTAGGAATCAGCTTCAGTAAGGAATAGTGAGCTTGAATTTGACGCTTTCTGGAGTTTGCTTCTCTTGTTTCTTGCATTCTATTTCTTTTGCAGATTCGTTGGCTTTTTTGGTGTTGTCCAGCGTCATCTCTTGAAGGTACTCTAAATCAGCCAGCTCAAGTGGCACAGCCTTAAGATCAACACAGGAGACTAGAATAAGGTTCCGAAGTCTTGGGAAGGGACAATTTGATGCCTCCCATGTTTCAAATTTTGCGTTTTCAATCTGTAACACCCGGAGTTTCCTAAAACCTCCTGTTTCCACCTTCCAGGACTTCCCCGTGAATGCATCTTCTTTCAACTTTAAGACCTCAAGGCATTCCAGCTGCCCCAACCTATTCGCCTCGTTCCATTCAAACCTTGTTTTTGATAGAGTTAACTTCTTCAGTTTCGGTAAGCATTTTAAGAATGCTAAACTAAGGTGAAGAGCTTTACTTAAGTCATCATTGAGCAGTGTCAAATTTTCCAGGTGCCGTAGCACTGGAAAATTGCCGAACTCACCCTTGCTAGCTTCAAGAAAAGCCTCTAATTTACCTTCAATACTCAATCTTTTGAGATTAACAGCCTTTGCAAGCACATCTTCGTTGCAGCTTTCTGGTGCAACCAGAGAAAGAGTTTGCAGACATGAACTTGTAGAGGTAGTAGGGGGCGGCAACTTTGCAGGTTTGTTGGTGTGCAGATGGCGCAACCGTGACATGTTCCATATGTCAGCTTTTATATCAAGGGTGGTCTTCGAAGTATTAAGCACAAGAGTTTGTAAATTCCAGAAGTAACTGAAGAGTTTAGGAAGTTCATTGAGATCACCTGACATAGCAATATACCTCAAGTGGAATAGCTGGTAAAAATCCCTGGAAATACCAAATTTTAGAGATTCAATCTCCAGGATCCTGATAAGTGGAGATGCTTTAGGGATACGCTGGACGTCAATATTAGAAAGGTCAATTTGTTTTCTTTTTGAGGAAAAACATAAGAAAGATCTAACATGTTCTGTAGCTGGATTTTTGGAGATAAAATTTTTAGGAACAGATGATTGAATAGACAATCGACGAGACGAAGTATTTGAGTTTTGTATAGAAGGACTATCTTGACCGGGTTTGAGACATACTTGTTGGATAAGACATAGTCTAGTAGCCTCCTTAACGCAAAACTCATGTAACATGTCGTGAACACGACATGTTTTTATTTGACCGTTACACCTCTTCTCCATCACCATCACTAAATTCCTATTGGCAAAGTCATTCAAGTGACACTCTGCTATCTCCTCAATTTCACTACCTGGCAAGTTAGCCATTATGAGCCCCTCAGCAATCCACAGGCGAATCAATTTCCAAGCTGGAATATCAAAACCCTGAGGAAAGGCACCAAAATGCAAGAAGCAAGCCTTTCTATCTTGAGGCAAATGATTGTAACTCAGTCCCACAATCTTCAGGCATCTCTGATGTTCGTCTTTTTCTATAAGGTACTTCCCCACATTTTCCTTGACTACCCTCCAATCACTATCGTTTGTACGACCTCTTAAAGCTCCAGCAATTACCACAATTGTAAGTGGTACTCCACTACATTTTTCTACAATGCCTTCTTCATGTTCTTTTAACTCAACAGGACAACGACTTTTGCCAAAAGCTCTCTTTTCCAACAGCTGAAAACTTTCCTTCTGAGTCAGAAACTTCAGATTGTGAGGATCTGCATTCACAGCTGTAGCCACATGTATGTATCGAGTGGTTGCCATGATTCTGTGGCCTCTGTTGTTTTCTGGAAAAACTGTCTTGACAAAATCTACAATATCTGAATCCCACACATCGGCCAAGACAATGAGACATTTACCTCCCGACTTATCTACGCTATCACATATTTCCTCAGCTATTTCAGTCTCATCCATGTCTTGGAACTCTTCAATGCGTTTCGTGAACCCTTTCAAGATATTAAAAAGGATATCCTTTTTTATATATGACTGACCAACGAAAACCCAAATACAATAGAAAAATTCATCTGGAATCTTAGGATCATGATAGATTTTTCTTGCCAACGTGGTTTTACCAAGCCCCGGCATTCCCACAACCGGGATAACGTCTAGACACTCTGATCCTTCAACAAGACGCTCGATCACTTTTTTCGCTTCTTCATCAAAGCCAACCACTTCGTTATTTTCCAATGAAGGACCCTTCGACACAATCAAATGAATTGGATACGAAAAGTTAGAACTAATGTAGTGTAATGCTACCATCAGAAGAAACTCCAAGTAAACATGTCGAACAATAAGTTTAATGTATTGTAAACTTGATTTAATAACTAAGTATGTCTGAGAAGTAAACAAATAATGACCGGGACAGTTATTCTGAACCATGACGTTGCAAGTTTTTGAAATCACTATTCTATTTACTAGTTTTTGTCGTGTAATCCATTTCAATCAATACTAATTTTACAAAGCGGCATAAATATGAGTTTTATAATGTTTAGCACAAAATTTAAAGGGAAACAACATGTGTATGAAACAATCATTAGAAATAACCTGTAAAATAGCTATATTTAATTGGATACATACACCATATAAACTTTATTATTGTTATGATACAACATTCTCTAAAAGTCAAGTCCAGTAAAAGAGGAGCGAGTGGTGCAAGTATGTACTTGTTCAGCATTTAGCTTGGTCTCATGTTCTTAAACTTAGCGGAACTTTAAAAATAAAAATAAAAAATAGTATTGATGTAGCACACATCACTACTAGAAATCCGGTAAAAAGCGACCACAAAAAGCGACCAAAGTTGGTCGCTTATAGGCCTAAAAGCGACCAAAAAGCGACCAAACATGCCTGGTCGCAATATTGCTGGTCCCTTTATTTTAGGGACCAAATATTCCGAGTAAAGACTATAGCGACCTACTTTGGTCGCTTTATTATTTTAATAATATAATTTTGGCGACCAAATTTGGTCTCTAAATGTAAAATACGTTATTTATTTATTTATTTATTTATTATTAATCATAAAAAAGCGACCAACTTTGGTCTCTAATCCAAATATTATATTTTAAAATCAGGAAAATAGAGACCAATATTGGTCGCTTTTTTATTAATTTTTTTTATTTTTTTTAAAAAATAAGCGACCATAGTTGGTCGCTAACTTCAAGAAATAATTTTTTTTTTAATTATAAGCGACCAACTTTGGTAGCTATATTTCCAGAAATTATTTTTTAAAAATAGAATAGCGACCAAAGTTGGTCGCTTTTGAGAAATCTGGGTTAAATAGCGACCAAGGTTGGTCGCTATTGCCCAGAAAATTATTTTTTAAGGGAAAAACGACCAATTAGCGACCAAAGTTGGTCGCTTTTCTTGGTATATTTTTGCCAGAAAATGCCTGTTTTGGCAGCTACACCACCTGTCAGCTTACCAAAAATCCTAAACATGCATTTTATGCCAACAACAACAACAACAATAAATAACAACAACAACATGTGACGACCCGACCCGTCGTCTCATGAGTTACTGTCTCGTTCTTCCCATTTTCTGCTTCCTCATATTTCATTATCGGTATTGGGTGCATTAGAATTTATTTGGAGCGATTTTGATAAGAAATGAGACATTTAGTCTCTTTTAAGAAGGTTTAAGTTGGAAAAGTCAACCGGACGTTGACTTATGAGTTAGAGGGCTCGGATGTGAATTTCGACGGTCCGGTTAGTTCCGGGAGGTGATTTGTGACTTAGGAGTAGGACCGAAAGTAATTTTGGAGGTCCGGTGTTGAATTAGGCTTGAATTGGCGAAGTTAGTATTTTAGCGAATTCCGGTTGATAGGTGAGATTTTGATACGGGTGTCAGAATGAAATTCCGAGAGTTGTTGTAGCTTCATTGTGTCATTTGGGATATGTATACAAAATTTCAGGTCATTCGGACATCGTTTGGTCGGGTTTTTGATCGAATGTGTGTTTTAGAAGTTTTAAAAGAACTTAGGCTTGAATTCGATATAATTTGATGATTTTGGCGTTAGTTGAGGTGTTTTGACGACTGGAGCAAGTTTGGATAATATTTTAAGACATGTTGGTGCTTTTAGTTGAGGTCTCGAGGGCCTCGGGTGTATTTCGGAAGGTTAACGGATCGATTTAGGCATGAAAAAAATAAAGCTGCTGCATTTTTTTACAGCACTGTGAACAGTAGTTATGAACAGTGCCCATGAACAGTGCCCCATAACAGTATCCGTGAATAGTGCCGTGAACAGTATCCCGTAACAGTATCCGTGAATAGTGCCGTGAACAGTACCTCGTAACAGTATCCGTGAACAGTACCTCGTGAAAAGTAACACTGGTGAACAGTACACAAGGTGAAAAGTACACGGGGTGAACAGTAACACGGGTGAACAGTAATTCCGAAAATTTTTGGGCAGAATGTGTACATTTCATTCGCGAAAAACACCTTATTTCTCCACCATTTTGTCATTTTGAGAGCTTTTGGACGGGGATTGAAGGGAGTTTCAACTAAGATCGGTTGGAGGTAAGTTTTATGAGTTAAATACATGATTTTATTGAAGAATCATCCTAGAAATCCATGAAAACATAGCCAAATTATAAGAAATTAGGGCTTGAGATTGAAATTCTAAATTTGGGATTTGAGGGGTCAAATGGACTCCGATTCTTGTGAATTTGGTATGTATAAACTCGTGACGAGATAAGGAATATTTTGAAGTAAAAATTTCAAGATTTCAAGATGTGGGCCCGGGGCTCGGGTTTTGCAAATTTCGTGATTTTGATATTTTCGAGTCTTTTCGATTGGGTTATATTCCCTTAGCCTATTATGATGTATTCATTGTGGTTTTGGACAGATTCGACGCGCGAGGAGGTCGGTACGAAAGGAAAGGGCATCGCGGAGTAGTATTTGGCTGGCTAGAGGTGAGTAATAGATGTAAATAATGTCCTGAGGGTTTGAAACCCTGGAATTTCACATCGTAACGCTTTATTGAGGTGACTTGCATGCCGGATAACGGGCGTGGGGTAGAGCACCATTGGCGATTGTGACTTGGTCCGTCCCGAGAGATATTTTACTACATTTTTGGTTGAGATGTATACTTTATTATTGTGAATTGGGCTTGTTGCCATGCTTGGGGCCTTGTGCCGACCTGTAGAACCCTTAGGGGATTTTTAACTGGGTTTCCTCACTTATTTTGTTAAAGAATTTATATCCTCAGTCATGCTTCCAATTGTAGGCTCTTGCCAATTATTTGAATCTTTCAGGGATTGATATCACTGCTTTCGCATATTTTGCATATCATTTGACCTCAGTCCAAGGTTTTAAATACTNCCCTTATCTTCTGTCTCTGTAGTAGCTAATGACTTGTGACACCCCGGTTAGGGCTGAGTTGGGTTGATTTCCGTATTTTATCTATACTTTCTTCTATTGGATATTATTAAACCATGTTTATAATATAATTGTGTTAATTAATTGTCTTAAAAGGATGAATTGGGTTGAATGGCTGGCCTTGTCTTCATGAGAGGCGCCATCACGATCAGGTTCGGGAATTGGGTCGTGACACAACAACAACAATAAAAAGCAACAAAGTATAAAGTTCAATAGAACTAACACATTAAGCTAACAAAACTAAGTTAACGCTTATTACAAGCCCATTCGAAAACTGGTTCTATTGTCTAGTTCAAAGTAAATAAAGTACTCAAGGAGTGTTCTTTCAGCATCTTCATCCGAAAGTTGGATTGCCTCGCCCGACTCATTAGGTGGCTGACTGCGTATGAATTCCCCCACATTAGCTGTGAAGCGAACCTATAAGAAAAATTATATTGAATTAGTATTTCAAAATTTATATAAAAGTAAATCAAAATACTTAATGAAAAGTAAAAAAACTTACATGTATAGTCGAGGCTCGACCCTCGACCCACCTTTCTAGATCAGTCTCTTTCTTTTTCTTTACAATACAAGTCTCATTGAATAACTCATCTTACTTCATTGGAATCATAAAGTTGTCTGGTGGCTTTGGTGATTATCCTCGTGGTACTATTACTCGGGATGAACTTAGATACAGAGAGTAACTTGGATACAGTACCCGACAGGGTGTGTCTTTAATCAATTGTTGTTCTCATTTTCGCAATTCCCAACCTAGCAGAAGTCGGGGTTTGCAATTGCGAACCTCTGTTCGCATTTCCCATACCTGCGACTTTCAACTTTTATACTTAGCCGAAAATCAACCATTTTTACATCTTTTCAAAATACAAACTCCCTAGGGCGATTTTTCAAGAACAACTCTTCTTCCAAATCGATTGTAAGTCAATTTTAACTCGTTTTCTTCAATCATTAACATCTTTTAATATGATTTCAACTCAAAATCAATGGTTTTCATGGGGGAAATTGGGTGTTTTGGGTAGAACCTAGGTATTTTCAAAAATTGGGGATTTGGACCTCAATTTGAGGTCTGATTTCAAAACAATTTATATATTAGGTTTCGTGGGGGAATGGGTAATCGGGTTTTGGTTCGAACCTCGGGTTTTGACCATATGGGCCCGAGGGCAATTTTTGACTTTTTGAGCAAAACTTTGAAAAACTCATTTTCATGCATTGGGGTTGATTCACTTAGCGTTTATTGATGTAATTAAGTAACTTGTGGATAGATATGAGCGAATTGGTGGTGGAATCAAGGGGTAAAGTGATAATTGAGACGTGAATTGTGTTCGTGGCATTGAGGTAAGTGTTTGGTCTAATCTTAGCTTGAGGGATTAGGAGTCGAGTCCTATTTGCTATGTGGTAATTGTTGAGTACGACGTATAGGCATGGTGACGAGTATCTATATGTTGGTGTCTAGCATGGCCGTGAGTCTTATTTTGTAATTTTCATGACTTCATTGTATTATTCATGCCTTGGTGAAGATTTCTATGTGTTGTGCAAAGTTTGTAGAAGGAATTGTGACCTATGAATATTTAGGAGCATTGGCTCAAGTTGTATAACGAATCATAAAAGTATAAGTGGTAATTGAACCCTTGGAGCGTTGCTTAAGTTGTAAAGTGAGTTGTGAAGTAAAAGGTGAAAAAGAGAAAGAATCACTATTTTGGCTCCCTTGTCGGGATATTATTATTGTTTTGATGTTGTCCCTTGCCGGGACTTATTGTTGAATTTTTGTTCCCTTGTCGGGATTCTTGTTGTAACTCCATTTATTTCCTTGCCCTATTATTTGTGATTGTTGTTTGGGTGAGGAAGAGAGTTAAAGCACGAAGGGTGATGTCGTGCATTGTTTTGGTGATAGAGTGTTAAAGCACGAAGGGTGATGCCGTATATGATTTGTGAGGAAAGAGTGTAAAGCACGAAGGGTGATGCCGTATATGATTTGTGAGGAAAGAGTGTAAAGCACGAAGGGTGATGAT